CTGGGAAAGGGGGGCTTCTCTCTCCTGCTCTCTCCACCTTTGTTACTAACAAGGCTATTTGTCACTTGGCTGCCAGGGCGACCCGCCTTCCCCCGCCCCTCGTCAGCCCCAGCAGGAGGCTAGACAGTCACCAGCTGAGTGGGCACTGGAGCTGGCTGGGCAGCCGGGGAGCAGCAAGCAGAGGCAGGCCCCGCTTCCCTCCTCTGGCTGGTCAGCAGGGGGCGCTGCGCTGGGCGGGTCTGGGAGACGTGCAGGCAGCTGGCTGCTTTCAGGAGAGAAAACCTACCAACGTGCACATCTAACAAGCACACACACAGAGAATAGGAGCACGCCCACTTTAACACCTGCAAGAGAAGAGACCCCAAAGAGCCAGGAGGCAGGAGCGTGGAATCTGGAATAGAGAAAAGCCAAAAACTGGATGCTGCCTCTGCTGTGTGCTCTTGGATCACTTACTCCACCTCCCTGAGCTCCCTGGCTCAGCTGTAAGGGGCCTCATGGTTTCCCTCCTGGAAACCTCAAAGGATTTTGTTGGGTTCAAATGAGATAATGTGGGAGACGTTCCGGACACAAAAATGCCATCTAGAATTGTGATCACCAGGCCCAGCCCCACCTCCCACCCCTCCCCCTCACACAATCTACTGTCTGCGTCTCTCTGCGGCCGATCCCCCACCTTCCAGATCTGACCTCTCACCTCTAACCTCCAGGAGACCTCCGAATCGGGCAGCCCAGAGCCGCCTGGACCCCACTCCAGGTCTTCTCCCTTGCTGTGCCCCTGGACATCCCTGGACACTGTGCGCCCCACCGGTCACCTCCCTAAGGCTCTCCCCACAGTCACAGGTGAGGCTGGAGCTGGGAGGTCCTTGGGGACGGTTGGGAGAGGAGGAGAACGGATGCCGCAGACCGCGCCGATGGAAGCCGAGCGGGAGTCTCGAAGGGCAGGGAATTCATTTCATCCTCCAAAGGGAGGCCTGCCTGACTCTGGAGGCCAGGAACACTGAGCCTTGCATGGGGACCAAACTGAGCCCAGCCTGTCCCCTCCCTCCAGCCGGATCTTGAATAAACTGAGGCCGTCCCCCACGCCTGTTTCCCTTGCCTGCTGTAACAGGCCTGGAGAGGAGCTGGGCATCCAGCCTCAGCACAGGCCTGGCCCAGGCATGGCTTGGGGCTAGAGGGTTTCCTCCTGGGAGCAGCTGGGGCCCTGGCTCAGGTGGGACCACGGTGGCTTGCCACCCACCCTCAGGCCGGGCTCATTCCCTCCCACTCCCTGGGCCCTCCCGTCTCTGTCCATATGAAACCCCAGCCCTCTGCCTGGTGATTTCCCTCCGTCCCCCGCCCAGGTGGACCCTTCCCTGGGGTCCTCCAATTAGACTCCCAGGAGGGTCCGCTTCCCCTCCAGAGCCGACTTCCTGGGGGAGGAGGGAGGAGAGGCCCTGCCCGGTCTGTCTCCTCACTCCTGCCCTAATCAGCATTCCAGCTCTGCAGGCCCCGGGATTGGTTTGCCAGCGGCCAGTTCCCTGTCTCCCAGTTCAGAGTGAGTAATTCTGTCCCTCCCAGGCCCATTTAAGGGAGTGAATAATTAGTTACATTCAATTAGGCCTCTCGCTGCTCTAGTGGCTCCTGCCTGCCTCACTTGGGGGGACAGGCTGGCTAATGAGACGGCACACTTCCCACAGAGGGGGGTGGGGGCGAGCCGCCACCAACCCCCCACCCCTCCACAGGGTGCAGGGAGCTTGGAGGGAACAGGGAGGGCCAGAGATGTCCTTCATCGGGGACAGACGCAGATGCTGGATGCTGGGGAGGGAGGCAGGAGACAGGAGGGCGAAAGAGAAGGAGAGAGAGTGGAGAAGGCCCCCCGGAGGGAGGAGAGAGGGCCTCCTGGACGTCCTGCAGCACGGGACTCCTGCGACACCATGGAATCTGTGCAGTGATTAAAAACCATGTTGTCGATCTATATTTATGGGCACAGAGAGATGTCCGCTCCACTGCTAAGCAAAGAAGGCTGCCTACCAAACAGTGCATATGATAATATCCCAAGTTTAAAAAACATTTTTGGCATGGAAAGCAACTCCGGAGGGACCATGCCCTGTGGTCAGCAGGGGCGGTGGGAGGCTTCCAGGTGGTGGTATTTGGAGTCCCTGTCTGTTGCATGGACGGGGTGTCGGGCGTTTATAATCAGCCATAACAATAGCACTTGTTGGAAAGAGAGCAGGGATGAGGTGGAAGAGCTGGGGATGGGAAAGGAGGTGGTAGGAGAAGGCAGGCGGCCGGGAGGGGAGCCCAGGGCCAGGCAGAAGCTGCCTGGGAGAGAGGGAGTCCTGGGGGCCCAGGAGACAGGAACTAGCTGGGGGCCAAGGCTGGCGTGATTGCCAGCCAGCAAGCTGAGGCAGAGAGCCCCAGGGACAGAGAAGGAAGGCACAGAACAGGGATGTCCCCTGTAACTGGCCCCCTGGGCCAAAGCTTGCTGCACCCCACCCCACAGCACTGCGGCTTGTGCCAGGGAAGTCCCCGTCACCAGCTCTTCCGTCATCCAGAACCACAGCATGGGAGGCTTTCTCTCTGGCTTTGGTACAAATTAAAACTGCATCCCTCCACCCCCACAGGCGGGCTGGTGATTTTCTCACCAGAGTGGCTCTGGGAAGAGAAATCCTAGCAGGCAGAGTCCTAATACCTTCTGCCACCCAAGGATGGGCTGCAGGGTCCGAAGGCTCCCAGATGGGACTGGAGCTTCAGGGACTGGTCATGGATTAGAGCGCCTTGGGGACCCGCGGGCCCTCTCAAGCAAGTCCCTCCACCTGGCTTCAATGCCCCAGACCCTGCCCCCTGCAGAGGATGCAGCCTAAACCCCCAGGGCCTCTCCGTCTCCAGCAGGGAACCGCCTGCCTGGGGCGTCCTGCCTGGCCTGGCTCTGGACCCTCTAGGGCCTCAGTTCCCCAAATGTAAAACAGAAGAGTGAGACAGTGGAACTCCCAGTCTTTCAACCAACCCTTTGTCACATGTTTCCTGGGTGTTCACTGAGCCTGTTTCTGTAAATTGTGGAATTGGTGACATTTAACTGTTGGGAGATTTCACCTAAAAATCCGGATTCGCAGCAAGGTACAGACTCAATCCTTCGGGGAACGACTGGAAGGAGCGGACAGACGCTTCCCCAAGGACGGCCCTAGTCTCTGCCACACCAGTCGTGGCCCTGCCAGCCTCCCTCCTCTGGCTCTGCTGCCTTTCTCCATGGACCGGGACAGTCACACCGTCGGAATGACCTGTTGGCACCTGTTCCCTCACTCACAGAGGGGCAAAAATCGCGGGCTTTCACGTGCACCCGGTGAGGTCCCAATCTCAGCCTGAGCTCATCTGTAGAATGGGTATGGTAGGAGGCCACGCCTCCGCGGGCCGCGCTGTCCACTAGGGCAACTCGGGAGCGGGCCCGAGGTGCTCACGCTGCAGGCTCTCCGCAGGAGCGCAGTCCTGTCGCAGGGCGGGGGTCCTGACCTAGGAGGAGGAGCACTCTAGGGACCTCGTCCATGTCTGTGAAAGACGGGATGAGCCCTGGGGGATGGACGGAGGAGCGGCTCCGCCCACGGAGGCAGGACCCCAGCCCCAGCACGGGGCGTGGGCGGGGCCTGCGTCAGCGCAGCCCCCTGCGCTCCGGCCGCCAGCGACGCCAGGCCTTCGGACGTTACCTTGGCGCCACCTGCCGGCGGATGCGTGCCTCACAGCCATCTGCGGCCAGGACCGACCCCGCTCCCTGGGGGGTTGGCCCTCTCCACAGTGCAGAACTGGCAGAGCCGTAGGGAACCAAGCAGCCCTTCATGACACGTCGGGGGGATGTCCAGACCAGAGAGTCATTTCCCAGAGGCTCCACAGAAAACTCCTGACCAAGTCCCATTAGAATTAGAACCAGAATTTGCAAGAGCTGCCAAGAGTAACTTCTGCCCTTGGTGGAGACACCGAGACACACCCACTCCCCCCACACTAGACAGGGCCGGGCCCAGGCGGTGTGCTGGGAATCTGAACCCGGGAAGCCGCGGTGGAGTGGGGAAGGGGCACCAGGAAGGGACCAGCAGAGCGCATCCCCCTAGAGAGCCCGGAAGCTGTGCAGGACACACCTCAGGTTTGTCCCTTCTGAGGGAAGGAGTGTGGGTGTTTACCCGTCCCCTCTGAACCCCGACTGGCCTGCCCGGCCAGGTCACACCAGGGGTCCCAGGTGCGGCAATGGGAACCCGGCTGGGTATTCAGCCTGGTGAAGGCCCAGGGCGGTGGCTCTCAAAGTGTGAGCCTGGACCCACGGCAGCACTGACCCCTGGGAAATTGTCAGAAACGCGGATTCTCCTCTCGGTCCCTCCTGAGAAGCACTGGAGGTGCCACGGGTATCCCTGGCTTCCCAAGCCTTCCAGGTGCCTCTGGTACCGTAGAGAGCCTCTGGCCTAGGAGAGGACGTAGCAGGCCCCAACAGCTACAAGTGTCACCACCAGTTCCCAGACAAGGAACCCAGAAAGATCTCATGCAAATAGGGGGCAGGCAGGAGTCTGTTTCTGCGGCCACACCACCACGCAGAAGTGAGACCACTAGCATCTGGGCCCTGGGCGGGGGGAGAGGATCAAGCCCCCTGCGCCCACTCTGCCACTGAGCTCTGCTTCCCAAACCAAGACTCTCCTCCACCCGGTGCCTCCAAATGGCTCTTGAGGCTCTTCTAGGAAGACTGCCAAGTCAGGTGCCCCTCTCCTGCTCCCAGCTGCCATCAGAGCCTCCACGGGGACAAGCCCTCTCCATCCCCACCCTCATCAGAACATGTGAGCCAACAGGACACATGAGAGCAATCCAAAGCCGTTTCTCACTGGGGAAGGAAGAGGGGCCCGGGTTCACCCCCACTGGGAGTCCGCCAGGCTCTGCCCAGCCCTGTGCTCTATGCTCCGCTCTTCTTGTCCCCAGCCGTCCCCCCTCCCCTCTGCTCCCATTCCATCTGCTGCTCCTCCTGGCTAGGCTCCCCCTCAGTTGGCACAGCAGGAAAAGAGAACAGGAAGGTTTATTTTTATCCTGAGATACTGCTGGGGAGGAAGGGGCACCATCTGACCTAGAGACAGCAGCTCCTGTGACGGGAGACCCAGGACCTCCCTGGAAGGAGCTACAGAGGTAGTTGCAGAGAGCAGGCAGAGCTGGGGGAAGCTCTGGACCAAGGGGGGGGGCAAATGACTGCACCTCTCTGGGCCTCTGTTTCCATCTCTGAAAGAGGAGGGAGGCAGACCCTCCTGGCCTCCAAAGGCTTCTGTTTTGTTGTTTTGTTTGGGACCATGAATCAAATGGGAAGAACATCTTGCAAACTTGGATGCCAAACGCAAGCACACTCGGAACCTACCCTGGAGCGGCAGCAGCCTGGGGACATTCTTACTTATCCTCTGAAAATGCCCTCATTCTGTGAGCCTGGCAGCAAATTAAACAGCTCCTGTCACCCGGCATGTCCACCCCCGTTTTTCTTTTTACGTGTTTGATGGGTTTTTTAATTACATAAGCATTATGTGAACTCATTCTCCTTTTGGAAAAAAAAAAAAAGAAGCATCAGGGGAGAGCCAAACCTTCCCCAGCGCAAACATGACCAGGTCTGTGAGTTTGGGTTTCTGGGTGTCCTTCCAGAACCCTGGTTCTACCTACAGATATGATGCATACTGTATCTATGACTCCCAGTCTCCTCCTGGATCTTGATGCTGTCTGTTGCACACACAGTAGGTGCAGTGTCTGCATGACTGCACTCTGTTGCGTATCCTGTTGTTCCAGGTGTGTCCACTGAAAAGCTCTTTGTGTCTATCCTCCCACAACCTCTTTTGTCTCTTCATCGGACCGTGTTTTGGAGACCCTGTTGTATAAATACAGTGCCATTTTATTTACCAGTCCCTGCTGATGGACAGGGAAATGGTCTCCAGTCATTCACAACCACATACAAAAAAAAAGCGGCAACGGAAGACACGTGTATAAGCCTCCTGGGCGCGTGGAAGCCACACGACACGTCTCTGGGTGCCAGGCTGCTCCGCTGGGCTGGAGGCTTGGTGGGTGTCACCATCTCCCCTTGGGCCCCCAGAGTTCTCCCTCCATCTCCAAAAACAACTGGAGGAGCCCAGGTGTGCAGCAGGAGTCCCTGAAGGTGCCGTGGGCTCCTCTGAGTGCAGAGGTGGAGGCCGAAGGGGCTGTGCCTGGTCGGCATCGTCCCCTTGGCCCCACGCTGTCACCACTGCAGCAGCTCCCGGTTCTCGGCCAGGTGTCCTGGACCCGTGCAGCCGCGTCCCAAGCAGGCACAGCCTCACTGCCTCTCCTGCACGGCCACGCGGCTCTCCTTGCCATCCTCCTGGGTGACCGGCTGGCAGCCATGTAAGGTCTCCTGCACTGGAGCCGCAGGAGATGGAGCAACATCATCCAGAAAAACAATCTCCACAGGATCTTGCCCCTGAGCCTTAGGAAGATGGACGGCCTGGGAAGGAAGGTGTGAGGTCACCCCACAGCCTGTCCCCAGGAAGCAGAGGCCCTCCCCAAGCCCCTTCCCCTTTCCCAGGGGTCAGGGCCGATTCCTTGGGTGTCTCCTGCCCCCTGGTGGCCACACTGAGGGTACCAAGAAGCTTCCAGAGCAAGAGCCAGTGCATTCCAGGAGCTACCACACTGGGCCCAGCTCCAAGATCCCAAGGCACGTTCCCCTGGGGTGAGCGCCCGGCCAGGGGTGCAGGACTTGGCCAGTGGTGCCAGGCTCCATGAGGAGGTCAGCTCTGGAGGTGGCAGAGTGGGACTGAGTAAGTGGACAGAGGAAGCGAGGCTGGAACGTGGCGGGGGTCGGGGAGCCTCTTCTGCCCCCCACTGACCGCAGTGACAGACCCCGAGTCGGTTTTCCTGCCCCACAGGCAACAAAATCTTTCTTGCCAAAACTCTGTCCCGGGGGGTGACCTACCTTGTCCTTCGGCTTCTTGAGCACTTTCCCTGGAGGACAGAGAAGGGTGTGAGCCGGGAGGCCAGATCCAGCCACCAGGGACACGACACCTCCTCCTCCCTCGGCCCCTCCACCCACCTGGGGACTCACGGATGTACAGCGACACCAGGAAGATGGCCAGCAGGAGGACCCCGACGACGGGGATCACCACCAGGGCTCTCGTCCGACTCTGGAAACCTAGAGCAAGCAGACTTCAGCAGGCTCCCCACAGCTCCCCGCCCCCAGGCCCAGGCTGCACCAAACCCTCCACCGGCTGAGCCCGGAACACGGGACCCTTGAGGAAACGGCTGGCAGGTGTCTTCAGGGTGAGGAGCACACTGTTTTAACGCTTTGAGATACTGGCCAACTTTCTTTACTGAGGACACGTTAAAAGCCTGGATACCTGGCCCCCTACAAAATGGGGAGATCATGGCCCTGTGAGCCAGTGTCCCCATCTGACAGCATCAGCTGGAACTGAGCAGCGGCGGGCTCTCCGGCTTCCTGTCACCCTACCCGCTGCCCATCGCCGAGATCCAGCGTCATGCGTGTCTGGACTGTTGTTCTTCTTATAGAAAAGGCAAGAGGGAAGTCAAGTGTTTCTTGTTCCTCAGCCTCTACTTTAAGCGGCAAATGAAAGACCAAGAGGCAGGAGCTCTGACACAGAGAGGGAATCAGACACCTCAGACAAAATTTACAGGTGCCCCGGCCGACTCGGGGACCAAGATAAATTCTGGTCTGATGCCACGATTTTCAAGTCAGCGGTGGACACCAAGAGAGCAAACGACGGCCCACGGTTCAGCCACCTGTTTTTTAAATAAAGCTTTATTGGAACCAGGGCCCAGCATAGGGTAATGTGAGGAGGCGGGGTCTTGCAAATGCCGGGTCAGATCCTGCCTTTATTTAAAATTTTGCTCTTTTATTTATCACAGATTTTTTGCATTCATTTTGATTTTTATGATATTGAGTCAAGGGGTTGGAGCTATAGCTCTGCAGTAGAGCGCTTGCCTCACACATAAGGCCCTGGGTTCGATTCTCAGCACCACATATAAATAGAAAAAATTAAATAAAGTCCATCAACAACTAAAAAACACTAATAAAAAAAGTATCGCATCAAAACGCTTTATCTTGGTTACGACATTGATGGCACTCCCTTGAACACTTAGCTCAGGCCAAGTGCCGCATCACCTCATTCTACTCCCAGCCCTGCCAAGAGGAAGTCGAGTTCGAGAAAAAGCAAAGACGGTGTGTTTTTCTCACCCCTGACCTCCGACCCTCACTAACCTGACCTGCCCAGTCCCTGTAGTTATCTGAATTGGTGATCTGTGCTGTAAGCCAACCTTCTCATTCTAAAATCAAAACTGAGGCCAACAGGGGACAATGTCACTGTGTGCTAGGACCTGAAGTAAGGGGTGGCAGAATCGCATGATGGAGCACCTCCAGAGTGCAAGAACCCAGGCCAGGCACCTGCACCGGCTACTGAGAGAGGCACACTTCTCCCATTTTACAGATGAAGAAACTGAGGCTCAGAGAGGGGAAGCAGCTTGCCCAGGTTCCCACAATAAAGGGCAGAGCTGGGATACCACACCCCCAAACTGCCTCCTCCTCTCCCTTTGTCCCCCACTTCCTCCCCGCTGGTGTCTCAGGCCTCAGCCGCCCCTTCAGTCCCCACAGCTGCCAGGGCCCACTCCAGGACTCACCACAGATAGCATCAGTCACGTTGGTCCCTGGCTGGCGCTCCACCAGGTCTTTGGTCTCACAGCTGTGCAGACACATGTGCACACACATATGGGCACGCAGACACACACAGAGAGAGAGAGAGA